CCCTGCTCTTCTCAGCCTCCGGCTTCCTCTCTTGCAGTGTGATCAGCTTTATTGAAATTTTCCTGCATGATGTGCCCACAGCCAAGGTTAGCTTAATGATGTGAAAATTCACCAAATGTGTGAGCTTCCTCTGAAGCATTACCTATCCAGCCTTGAGCCCTTTTTGCATGAGAAATAAAGGAATAGACTTTAGAGAAACTCTGAGAATGACCCATTGAGATATCTCACCTAGAATCATCTAATTTAATTTGTGTGTGTGTGTGTGTGTGTGTGTGTGTGTGTGTGTGTGGTCCAGCAATCCTACGACATCCTGCTGCTGATTCTCATGGTGCTGCTGCTGGTGCAGGCAGTTCTGACTTCAGCCACTGTGGTGCACTGTGCCTCCTACAAGAGTCAGCTCCGCATGGGGGCTCTAGAGTGCGATGACAGCATGCACACCCCGAGCCATTCCTTCGAGGTAAGGCAGGTAAAAGCAGGAGTTGTGGACATAAATGGGCAAACCTATCAAAGCCTGTCTGTCTGTGTTTTTCCCTCCATGCCTGTCTCTCCACTTCCAGCAGGAGACATTTGCGAATGTAGAAAATTATACATTAAATTGTCTTCCAGGTGCTCTCACCAGCTGTAGCTCATGTAAATGGCACTTGGATATGATGGCATTAAAAACTTATGAGCTAGAAACATATAAAAACACATTGTGCTGCTCATCCTTCACACATCATTTATCTCAATGTTTGTGTCACCTTTCCCCTTCCACATTTCATCTCTCGCTCCTTCTCCCTCTTCTTGTTTTGCTCCCTCAGCAGCAAGCAGCCAATGGAACGCTGCAGGATTTTGACAAAGACAGAGCCTGGAAGGCAGTTGTGGTCCAAATGGCCCAATGAACAGTCTACAGCACACAGAGAAGTTTGATAAGAAGTGGGGGAAAAAAGGAGGAATAAACAAACTCTGTAAGCTGTAAGCACAAGAGCACAATCCTGAGACACAACACACTGGAAGAAAAGGCTGTAAAGATGAATTCAGAGACAGAGGGGAGAAGGGAGAGGGAAATAAAGAACGTAAGAAAGAAATCAGAGCGAATAGGGGTTGAAAAATGCAAGGCAGAGAATATGATTTTGCATTTGTTTTTGATTATGATATTTGCCAAGATAATGTGTTGAGCATTTTCCTCTGATGTATGTTTTCTGTAACTATTCCCCATAGTTTAATAAGATTTCTGTGTTGACATTATAAAGGTACAATGAACAATCATGTGAGTCAATGTTCAGTAGCATTAAACTCTTCTGAGCACTTGGGCCTGAATACAGTGTTTTATAATGTCTCTAAATATTTAACTTTATATGGTAAATGCATACAACTGAATTTATTCTGGATTTGATTGATGATGCACTTTTTTCAACATTATCATTGAGGTTGTACTGTTGCGTAAAAAAGGATGTCCATATGAAAAAAAATGCATCAAAGACATCCAACTAAAGAGCATATTAATTTTTTTGTTCTGCTTTTTCTTTCCTTTTCTATCTTATTTTTGTATCTCTACAAAGACAATGATCTAAAATGGCCAATCTATGCATTTTTGTTACTTTTCCCAAACAGCTTGTTGCAGCTTATCTATAACTCGGCACTGACTCAAATTACTTTGAGCTATCAACCTGTCATGACCTGGTGATGTTTGTCATAGCCTTGTTTATGGAAGAGTTTTCCACAGATGCAAAAGATCTTATGTGGCAGACTTTATTCTGTACAGATTTTTTTAGTAGTAGTACACTCATTTATCTTAGCACTCTCTTGACTATAGGTTTTGTTTAGTGGTTGACGTCTTTGTGTCTTCTTGTGTACAGCGGTGTAGCAACAGCATATATGCAACATATTACAAGAGAATTGACCCACCTGGATATTGCAGATTAACTGTTGTAGAAAATTTAACTGATATTCTGTTTTATTTAGGAAAATAAAATGTTTGCCATCAACTGTAAATATGTGTGTATCATGTGTTATAGTTGATCTTCTTGGTGTTTAACATTGCTCTCTGATCAATCTACAGATGTAGTAGGCAAATACATATACACTCACCAGCCACTTTATTAGGTACACCTTGCCAGTACCTGGTTGGACCCATTTTGCCTTCAGAACTGCCTTAATTCTGGTGGCATAGATTCAACAAGGTGCTGGAAATATTCCTCAGAGAGTCCATATTGACATGATAGCATCACACAGTTGCTGCAGATTTTTTTGCTGCACATCCATGATTTTAATCTCCTTTTCCACCACATCCCAAAGGTGCTCTACTGGATTGAGATCTGGTGACTGTGGAGGCCATTGGAGTACAGTGAACTCATTGTCATGTTTAAGAAACCAGTTTGAGATGGTTTGAGCTTATGGTGTGTTATCCCGCTGGAAGTAGCCATCAGAAGATGGGTACACTGTGGTCATAAAGGGATGGACACGGTCAGCAACAATACTCAGATAGGCTGTGGTGTTTAAACCATGCTCAATTGGTACTAAGGGGCCCAAAGTGTGCTAAGACACCACCACCGCCGGCCTGAACTGTTGATACAAGGCAGGATGGTTCCATGCTTTCATGCTTTTTAAACCAAACTCTGACCCTACCATCTGAATGTGGCAGCAGAAATCCAGGCTCATCACACCAGGCAACATCTTTCAGTCTTCTGTTGTCCAATTTTGGTGAGCCTGTGTGAATTGTGGCCTCAGTTTCTTGTTCTTAGCTGACAGGAGTGGCACCTGGTGTGGTTTTCTGCTGCTGTAGCCCATCTGCTTCAAGGTTTGATGTGTTGTTGGTTCAGAGATGTTCTTCTGCATACCTTGGTTGTAACCAGTGGTTATTTGAGTTACTGTTGCCTTTCTATCATGTTGAACCAGTCTGGCCATTCTCCTCTGACCTCTGGCATCAACAAGGCATCTCCTCCCAGAGAACTGCTGCTCACTATATTCTCTTTTTGGGACCATCCTCTGTAAACCCTATAGATGGTTGTGTGTGAAAATCCCAGTAGATCAGCAGTTTCTGAAATACTTAAACCAGCCCGTCTGGCACCAACAACCATGCCATGTTCAAAGTCACTTAAATCACCTTTCTTCCCCATTCTGATGCTCAGTTTGAACTTCAGCAGGTCGTCTTGACCATGTCTATGCCTACATGCACTGACATTGAGTATACATGACACTCGTTAGACTCTAAAATAGCATTTGAGGGCATATTGTTCAGTTATTCTCCTTTTTTAGATGTCAGGCTGTGGTGTTTAACCTATAGGCAATTTATATTTGTTTACTGAAGAATGTTTGACACCTCTGCGAAATAAGAATTGTGTTACTGTTATTGTTGTACACTTGTTTACTTCATTCCCATCTACTGTTAATTTACTCCCACTCCTGTGTTCCTCTCTGTTTGACACTCCACATGATATATTCTTATTAACAAGGAGTCACTTCCCTCCTTTGTATATATGATGATGAAGCCTCAAAAGGCCTGGAATAAAGATGGCATTTACTGCAAACATAATGCATATAGGTTGCATACAGTCAGCGTCCACTTTGTACAAACCCTGTACAAATGTGCAATGTAATGCAATTCAACACAAATGTTGTGCTGTTGCACTGAAGTCATAGTGATGGAGTTGTTTCTAATATTCTGGCTCCCTCATGCATGTAATAATCACATTTCTGGAAGACATTTCTCACAATGTCAACAAAAACTAAATACTATAAACTTTGCAAAGGAAGACTTTATAGCAGGGCTGCAATATTGGATTGCAACAGACTGTACAGTTGTACCTAATAAAGAGAGCACTGAGTGTACCACTGAGTCCACTAGGCTGTAATGAAAGGACATGCTGGGGTTTTTTTCTTCTTAGAAATGAACATCCTCAAGATCTCTGCAACGACTCTGAGAGAGAGAGAGAGAGAGAGAGAGAGAGAGAGACTATATTTGGAAGCAGACGTATTCAGGTGCGGCTTCCCTAACCGGCGGAAACCGGCTTGAGGAACACTGACTTGTGGCTCGGTCCGGCTGACAAGCACCGAGAGCGCGCCACCACCGCGCGCTCCCAGCGCCTTGTTGCCACAAGAATCCCAACAGAGAGCCAGAGGCTGCTGGAGGCTACAAACAAACTCACCCAGCTGCTGTGTAACTCTCACTGCTCAGTGCTCAGCTGTGATGATGTAGTGTTAAATTAAAATGCAATCTGGGCATAAGCACTGTTAATCAATGCATTTTAATAAAGCCATACATTCATGCTCTCCATAAGAGACCAGTAACTCTCTTCATCTTACAATGCAAGTAGCTCATGTAATTAAATGAAGGCTCCTCCATTATCACTTGTACTTTACATCAAACTTGAGGTTATCTTTCACAGCAATGCTCTCAGCTGTCTTGAATACTCCCAGAAAGTGAGAGTGGATGAGATGCTCGCCACACCCAGTGTGTTTGAATGACAAACATCTTTCCCATTCCTGGTGTGTGTGTCTTTGCCAGTCCCACACTATGAGGTGATGGGCAGACTGGATAAACCTATCAATAGAGAAGTCAGTGCCTTATGTTAGGTTGTAGACTGAACCAACAGGATTTGAATAGCCGGTCTGCACTTACTTAACTAGACTACAAGTCCGATATCACTTGTGATATAATATCATATAGGCCTAATTAATATGATTATCATTATCGCCGATCATATCACTTAGACAAAGGCTCCCACTAATGTTCCTGTAGGAATTTAGATCTGTAATATCTCAGTGATAACCTCTAAAAATGATTATAGATTTGGCATAATGGATTTCTGCGCCATACTAGATTTCTTTCTGCTCACACGCCACCTGTCTTTGTGAATGTAAATCCGGATCGCATTTTGTGGTGATGCAATGAACTGGAGAATCTTAATGTGTTATCTCATCCCTTGTTCCTGAGGAAGAGGCAGGGCAGGGAGGAGGGGAGAGAGGAGCGGGTTCGGAGGGAGGGGAGCTGGGGGGAAAAGGCGGAACAAACCGGTGTGCTCGGATACATGCTGTAGCTGCTCGCCCGCACTGCAGATTAACTCTTACCGTGCCGGGGGGATGCAGCGAGACATGGTGAGTGGATTTTGTGATTATTTCCCACCACTAGCATGCACATGGCTCCTTTTGTTAGCAGCACAGAGTTGCTGCTGCTAGTCTCTCCCAGTGTTGACAGGTGATGCAGCTATTGAGCATCTTGAGAGAGACTCCGACTGTAGGATCTCCTCTCCTCTCATGCACACATACACAGACACAGAGCAGCGCACGCACACTTGATGTTTAGCAGCTCGTCTCCGGCTATTCCGGAGCTATCCGCCGCTCAGGTGCTGAAACGGCTCGTCATCTGCAGGCAGCTGCAATCCACTGCAATGAGATGTCTCGGGTGGAAGTGTGGTCCGTCCTGGTTGTGATGCTCACAGCGTCCTGGACTTGCAGACCTGTTGGGAGACAGCAGCCTAGCTCAAGCTAACTAACACAATGATCCTCTGATGAAATGTTCCTGCAGTGTTCCCATAGGGACTTGGTGATGAGTCAAAAGTGAGAAAACAATGATGACACTTTATGGTGTTTTTCTGTTTCTCTATGAGTATAAATGTGCATCCCCCTATTGCTCTGCCATAGTTATCTGCTCAGATCTGTGCTCTGGATGTCTGAGAACAAGAGTCAAATCTATGTGTACTGAAAGTTCTTCCCTCTTCAGCCATCATCTAATTCATTATGAATGAGTGGAGCTCTTCTCCTCCTGCTCTCCGTGCTTTCTTTTTGTTGCCGGCTGTACTGGTCAAAGAAAAGCAGCATGCTGGAGTAGCAAAAGAATGTGGGATTCCCTCTCTAAACACTGGTAGCATCACCCAGCTGAAAGGCATTATCTGTTGGATTGGAGCTGTGCCAATGGCTTACAGACAGCAGTGCAGCCTCTAAGTGAGCGCCTAAAAATGTGATGCTGCCCCTTTAAATCTAAATTATGCAAAGTTTATTTCTCCTCTCCTTTGATACTGTGTGTTTGAGGTTGTGGATAAAGTTGTCTTGATTGTTACCAGGCAGTGTAATGTGGACAGTGCAGTGTCAGACCTATACTGTATGTCATGTTATCCCATAAAGGACATCTTGTTCTCTTTTTCAGGTAGAACACCAATTACTGCATGATGTCAACATTAACACATGCAGCCTTGAATAACTCTTCTGTGATTATATTTCAAAGTGATCCTCTCCTTATGATCTTTCTCACTGTGCGGGTGAGAGTGCATGCTAATTGTCCCCAGTACTCATGAAACTGCGGTCTGAAGGTGCCACTCCGCGAGATGTAAAGTACACTTTCTATCCCTGGATTAGAGGGCTTGGCTTTTAAGGATTTCATAGATGAGCTGTGTTTTCTGCATAATGAGAGAAAAGTGAGAGGAGGGCAGAGGGAGGAACAGGGAGAGAAAGTAAAAGGGGAAGAAGGAGAGCGAGGGGGTGAGGACTGTTGATGGGAAGGGGTGATGTATTCACACTCCTCACGGAGGACATTCACGTAACCTTCAAGCAAAATGAGCATGCAGCAGGCGCAAATTCCACCCAGCACATAAACTGTACAAGCATATTCATGCTCATGTATGTAGGCACACTCACTCACACGTGCACAAACACACCGAGACACACAAGACATCCCACTGACAAGTGTGTGGGTTCACCTGACATCCCCGTGTGAACATGCTGTTCCACAGAAATAATGACCACTAGGAGTCCAGAGAAGGGCAGGGGACGAACTGTGGAAGAGCAGAGCAGGCGCCATAAAAAGGTTATAAATAAATTATGTTTTTAGTCAGTTCCAGGTTAGCATACTATAAATTTGCCCTTTAGTGTCCTTGCATGATCAAAGGCAAATACCCCCCTCACATTATCACACTCCACTGGTCACAGAGTGGGGATTAGTCGCCCTCAGCCACATGACTGCACTATAGAGGACGATGGATGAGAACAGAGAGCTTCCCTGAGAAAGGTGTGAGACAGTACAAATTCACACTGTGTCTCCTTTGAAACATGGTCACACTACTTTATCTAGTGGACATATGCTCCCAGAAATGGTTTCTTGTACCTTACTGTACTTTCATTTAAAAAAAATGCACATACTGTAAAACCCTAACTGGTCATCTTTTCTTTCAGGAAAGGATTGGTCAGAGCTTCTCCTGACCGAAGCTCACGTAACAGCTCTTCAGCCAGCAGTCACTCTCCCTGGGGATCACAAGGACGCCTCCTAAACTCAGCTCATTCCTCAACCTGCCACACAGAGAGTGTGGACCGAGGCCAGGCACTGTAGAAATGGGGCACAACACAAGGATGCACACAGGAGACGCTGAGCGAGGAGTGTGCTTTTGAACGTTATGTCTCTTCTTCTAAAAGACAAGAGCTGTAGAAAACTGTAGAAGCCTCAAAGCTCTGAAGACCACACAGTATGACCCGCTGCTTTCCCACGTATGGTGAGAGAGGCTAAAGTTGGCCACACATCTGTGTGTGTGTGTGTGTGTATCACACTGTGTTGAGGAGTATTTAACTACAGCAGGAAGTGTCTGGCCTCGCCTCCAGTCCAGAGCGAGGCTGTAGTGTGCATCCTTCGTGTTCCGGATGCAGAACATCCTCGATCAAAACTTAGACATGGCCACGGCTCTACTCGCCGGCGAGAAGCTGAAGGAGCTGATCCTGCCGGGCTCCTCTCAGGATGAGAGGGGTGGGGTACTGGCCGGCCTCATGGTGCAGCTCAAACTGGAGCTGCCCTTTGATCGTGTCGTCACTATAGGGACAGTCATCATCCCTATCCTGCTGGTCACCCTCGTCTTCACCAGGAACTTTGCAGGTGAGAGTTCTGCCACTAGAGGGGGGTCATTGCCACAGTAACCCGCCAAAGCAAGAGAGTCTAACTTAGCTTTTACCCAGGTATATATTGTGGGGAAGCCATGCAGTACTGTGTGTCTTCTTTGACAGACAGTTATAAGGAGACGTGTAAGTGGGAGATTAGGCAAGGAAGAAAAAGGAGCACTGACATCAGAGGAGCAGACAGAGAGTTTGAAAGGGCAAGAGAGCGACGGGAGATAGGAGGGGGAAGAGGAAGGTGTTTGGTTAGAGGGCTGGGTGTGATGGGAGAGATGGTAGTTCACTGCTGAGTCAGGCTCTCTGCATAGCAGCATTAACCATCTGGGACTGAGCATTTAACTTAAGCAGCAGAAAGATGTGGGTGTTCAGACAGGTTCTACAGTATTCCCTCAATGGTGTGTTTTATAATGATATTTATGGCATCGCCAAACAGTTTTAGATGACTCAGCATCCTGCCCTCTGTGACTGTAACAAAGTGATGTCATTGCACATATTGCCCTTATTAGCAACAAAATAATAATAAAACATGCTGGCTTTACAATTAGTTTTTCTAATAGTTCATTTGAAAAGAAATGAGATTATTTAGATGACAAGTAAACTGTTTGTAATATTAGACGTCACTGCACTTAGTTCAAAAGATTAAAAGTGGATTTGCTGCAACCCTGAACCAGATAGTGCTGAAAAAGAACAACTTTGATGGGAAGAAGAGCTCTCGGTTTCTCTATCTGAGCCGAGCAGATCATTTCACAAAGCAGCGTGAGTGTTATCAGAGGCACGCAGCGCTTTGGGCTGAACAGATGAATGATTCTAAAAGATTCTCAGAGATACCGTGCTAATACAAATGAAACACATCACATAGATGCAAGATATTTCCTAGAAAAATGTGAATACGTCATTGCAAGTCGTATTTACTGCAAGAAATATGACGGAACACCAAGACCCCATTATCCATATTATCTTAAAGGGACAGTTCACCTCAAAATCAAAAACACATATTTTTCCTCTTATCCAAAGCATTATTTATCAGTCTAGATCGTTTTAGTGTGAGTTGCCATTTGTTGAAGATATCAGCTGTAGAGATGTCTGCCTTCTTTTTATCATAATGGAACTAGATGGCACTCAGCTTGTGGTGCCCAAAGCACCAAGAAAATAGACCCAGTTACTCAAGATAATCCACAGACCTTGTTGTGAGCAGTTTAATGTAGGAACTATTTTCTTTCTACCAAACAAGACCTGCCAACTGTATCATTGTGCATAGGGAAGTGTGCATCGACTCAAGGACGAGAGGCTTTTGCTCATGACAGTGAAAGATGTAAACATGAATGGTGTCTTCCTCAGGTGAGCTGTTATGTTAGCTAGCTCAGGGGTGCTAGGTGAGCTGACACTGGATACACACGTCATCTGCGCAGTGATACAGCTGGCAGGTATATTTTGTTTTTTTGATTTTTAGAAAGAAAATAGTTCCTACATGAAACTGCTCAGAACAAGGCCTACATCTCAGACACTCAAAAAAATCTAGATTGATAAATAGCACTACAGGCAACAGGAAATATATGACTTTTTGATTTTAGGGTGAACTGTCCTTTAAGATCTATTTGGATGTGAAGTGAGGGTGAGCATTAAATTCTGTTTAAAACAGTGGTTGCACTAAACAGAGCTACTGAATGGTAACTTTCTGGCTCACAGTACTCAGTGTAGCTGTGTGTGAGAGCAGTTTTGCAGTACAATGGATGATTACAACAGCTTTTTCAGGTATGTTTGCATTCCTTCGCTTTCAAATAAGTGCTTCAGATAAAATTGTTAAACAGGAGATTTTGTTTAAACCTGTCTGTTTGTCTGACCCCTCACATGTTCTCACATTGCCACATCTTGCCAATAAAATAAAATCTGGGAGGACAATGTAATAGGCAAGCTGTTCGGAGTGATGAGTGAAATTCTGGAAATAAGACCCAGGATGTAGCTTTGCAGCATTCATCTGTCAGCTTATACTTATACTTATGAGATATAATCATCCAACTTGTTAAATAATGTTTGGTCTGATTCTTTCTGTCTGTATTTTCCACAGAGGAGTCCATATACTGTTACACACCGCACAACTTCACCAGAGACCAGGCACTGTATGCAAGAGGCTACTGCTGGACAGAGCTGCGGGATGCTGCACCTGGTGTGGAGTCTCACCTTTGGCCTTCACTGTTTGAACACAAGTTCCTGCCCTATGCCCTGCTGGCCTTTGCTGGAATCATGTACATTCCTGCTTTGGGCTGGGAGTTCCTCGCCTCTACGCGGCTCACTTCAGAGCTCAATTTCCTACTTCAAGAGATTGATAACTGCTATCATCGAGCCGCTGAGGGCAGAGCCCCAAAGATCGAGAAGCAGATCCAATCCAAAGGACCTGGCATTACTGAGCGAGAGAGGAGGGAGATCATCGAGAATGCAGAGAAGGAGAAAAGCCCTGAGCAGAACCTGTTTGAGAAATATTTAGAGAGACGAGGCCAAAGTAACTTTCTGGCTAAGCTTTACCTAGCACGCCATCTGGCTATTATCTGCCTCAGTTCTATCCCCATTTCCTACCTGAGCGCCTACTATGCCCGCCAAAGGCAGAATGAGTTCACTTGTGCACTGGGTGAGCCTCCGGACATTAGCAGCTATCAAGAGCTGAAGCTCAGGGTCAACTGTAAGCTGCCTGCTGTGCAGCTGCAGCGCATCATGGCAGCGGTAGATATCGCTCTGCTCTGCACCATGAACCTCATCATTCTGGTTAATTTGCTGCACTTGTTTGTGGTGCGCAAGTCCAACTTTGTATTTGATAAACTGAATAAAGTTGGTATTAAAACACGGCGGCGCTGGCAGAAATCTCAGTTCTGTGACATCAACATCCTGGCCATGTTCTGCAACGAGAACAGGGACCACATCAAGTCGCTCAACCGGCTGGACTTCATCACCAATGAGAGTGACCTCATGTATGACAATGTGGTCAGGCAGCTGCTGGCTGCGCTTGCACAGTCCAACCATGATGCTACGCCCACTGTGAGGGACTCTGGGATACAAACACTCGATCCCAACATGGACCCCTCTGATCTTGGAGTGGGAGAGATGGCTGGGGAGCCGCTGGTCATCAAACGGCCCCGCAAGAAGATGAAATGGATCCCAAGTTCAAATCCTCTCCCTCAGCCCTTCAAGGTAAGGCAGCTGCCTGAGAGAAAATGAATATTCTTAGTTGTAACTCATCTACATTCATTCAGCATCAGTGACAGCAGAAGGAAAAAAATCTGTCCTCTAGAAACAGAATAATACTACAAGAACTTGTTCACTGGAGCACAGCAGTTCATTTCACCATGGACTGTTCAAGATGCAACTGAGCCATGCAGCATCAGCTCTTAATAAGAGCCTCTTTCCCTGAAGAGGCACAGGAAGTGGTCCTCATTTTGGATTTCCAAAATATGTAGAACTCTTCAATGCTGTGTAATCATTGTTTGGCTACCCGAACTGTAGTTAATACATAATAACCTTTTTTTGTGTTTTCTGCCCTCTGTAAAGGAACCTCTTACCCTGACACGTCTGGAAAATAGCACCAAGCCTGAAAAACCCAAACCAGTCAGACGAAAGACAGTGGCAGACAACTTCATTGCACCAATTCTGGATAGCAAGAGCACACAATATCCTGCAATAAAAGGTATGTAGTGGTGTAGTAGTCATTTAAAGCTGTGCTAATCAATATTCTTACATTAACAGTGGATCAAATGACTGTTAGGTGAAAGGGATTGCTTGTTATCAGCCAACTCTGCAGCAGGCAGTCGTTTAAAGGGATGGTTCCGATTATTTGAAGTGGGGTTGTATGAGGTATTTATCAATTGTTACTGTATGCCTACAGTAGATGGCGGTCGGCACACTCCTAGTTTGGAGAAGCAGGCAGGAGTACCACTACAGAAGCTAAGCAATGCACTGCTGTATGGGGGCTAGCAGCAAAACTCATTTTAGCCACTTAGACCCAAAAAAATCAGGCTAAGTGTACGCTATATTGAGAAGACTTTCACCACTTTATCTTGCTCTCAGACAGCCTTTCTGAAAGGGAACTGAAGCTGTTATAAAGGTATATTGATGCCAGACTCCTTTGACAAAAACAGTAATTTTACCTTGCAGAACACAGGAGTTGTTGGTCAACCGCTGCCTTGATCAGTTAGTTTGTTTGCATTATTGTGCGACTTGGTAAATCCAAACTTACTCTTTAAAACAACAAAGCCTAACAATAACACAAACACACCAACTAATTGAGGCAGCGTTAGACCAGTAACTCCTATGTTCTGCAAGTTAAAATTGCCATTTTTGTCAAAGGAGTCTGGTGGCTTGAAGAGAGCATAGACACCAGCTTCAGTTCGTGTCAGAAAGGGCTGTCTGACAGCAAGTTAAAGCGGTAAAAATATTGTAAATACAGTGTACGCTTAAGCTGATATTGATTATTTTAGGTGGGTCTTTATCTAGGTGGCTAAAATACCTTTTGCTGCTATACCCCGTCCACAGCAGAACATTGCTTAGCTTCTGTGGTGGTACTCCTAATTGCTTCTCCAAACTTGGGACATGCTGACCTCCACGTACTGTAGTAATATGCTGACTATAGAAAAGTACTTTATACAACCCCACTTTTAAAAATCCGAACTATCAATTTAAGCATACTTTGGATGGAGGACCTGCTATTTTGATGTGATGTTCTACCTCCTTATGAGTCAGACTTTTAATTTCCAATGGTAGATTTGAGTGGGATGGAGAAAAAGCACACTCGCAACTTCTCTCTGGATGTCCACCCATACATGCTGACCATTCGTAAGCCCAAAGTGGAGACCACAACCGCAGAGCCTCTACCCTCAGAGCACAACATGGACACAGTGTACCTTGAAGGCACACACACTATTGTTCATGTGTCTGGTGCCATTACAGGTACGTCCAACCTCCCCTTCACTCTCGCTCTTTATTACACGTCATGTGAACCAAGTAAACAACATATGAGCTAACAGAAATATGCAGCATCACTTCTCATACAGCTGTGCCTTGGATACCTCAATCCATAATGGAAATAAGCATAAAATGTTTTTCAGTCTAGTAAATTGCACTTGCTTATTAAATATTGCAAATGCCGCTTTCCATGTTGGCCAATCAGTCTTAGCATGCAAAAGGTGCCGACCTTTGAAAGAGCATAGTGGATGTTTATACTGTTGTAATTTGAGACTTTCTCCTCTCTCCTTCTACCCTCTCTGGTATTCCCTTCTTGTCTCCTCAGAAACCAAGGTTTGCTCTCCAGAATCGACCAACACTGCCTTTTCTACAGTGACCCTGCCCACCACCACTTACGTAAATGGCGTCAGCCCAAACCCTCCCTCCAGTGAGGACGCCCTCAGCCCCAAGTCCTCTCCTCTACCCCCTCCTCCTCCTCCTCCCCCAAGGGAGCCTCACACCCAGAAGGAAAACCCAGAGTGTCAGCCACCGCCCCTGACCAGAGCCCCTACGCACCAGCTGCTGAGTATACATCACACGCTCTTTGAAGAAGAAGAGGATGAAGAACACCGTAGGGATAGACTGGCAGAGAGACCCGGGGAGCTCATCGCTGCTGGGGAATGTTGAAGGAGGAGAAGAAGAGGAACGTTGATTGAAATTCCTCTTCCCGACACTAACACTCTGTGCACAGGACCACCATGTCCATCACCTCCTATCAGCAGCCACCTCTACTTTTTCAATTAGCTCACACACTTCTGTGATGGGTGGATTGGACAGTGAGGAAATGACATGGAACTCTAGTAGTCGTAAAAGTAAAATGACTCAGATTTTAGATGGGAAAACCATTCAGATAGGATAAGACAAAAGTTTGTGTATTTGATAACACTGACCAGAGTATTGCTGTAGGAAATGATGTCATGTCTCAGGATGACTGTACAGCTAAACACCCTCCAATGAAACCAGCAGTGATTTAATTCAACAGGGTGCTACAGTGCAGGGTCAAACAGCTATATTAAAAAGGCTTAATGAACGGATCAGTTGCAACAGGAGACGAGCGAGCTTTCTAAACAAACAAACAAAGAAAAAAAAAGACACACCTTAGAGATGCATATCTGCAAAGAAGACTGCATTATAGCTTCAAACAAAATGTATTTTAAACACATATGATAACGCTTAGTCCCTTTATCCCAATAGCCAAGTAGAGAGGTAGCTCACGCAATACAGTTGAGATCTGCACAATTAATATGCAAAAGATCACAATATATGTGTGGCAATAATGTATGCGCTTGCAGCATCATATTTCACAGAACGCTTAACACATATAGACACTGTATATGACTCAGTGTTTGTGGGGTGTTTAAAATATAGCACACGTTTCATGGCTTTATCATTGCCATTTCAGCGCTGATTAGGAACGTGTGTCAGATCTTGACTATATTTGCACGTCATTAATAACAGGAAATTGGCACATTATATAAAGGAACAGTAAAGGAACAGGCTATAATAAAAAGGGTGGTGTTGTGAGGTGGCGTGCAACCACAATATTGCTCTTTTTGTCTAATAGGTATCAGATATCTTTGACAGAAATGCAGTGATGTGGGTGCTTTCTTCTGAACACTTTAAAAGCAACTCTAATGTGATGAATGGAGCTGGACTCAACTGGTGTGACCTATGTGTTCTGCTGGCTTCTTGTGGGAGTGCTGTGATGTAAAGTGAATGAAGTGATGAGTAGATGTGAAATCGTTCCACAGAGGAAGGTTTATTACACGATGACTAAGCTTTTGATTGCCATCTGCTGTCTCTGACACGATCTAAATTTATTTCGGTAGGCTAGTTATGCCCTGTCTCACATTGTGCCAACATCTGCTACAAAGGAATTAATAGTTAGAATAGTTGGTCTGTTATTTGTAGTAAAAACAAAGCGTGTAAGGTATGTTTTCACAGGGAACGAGTGAATGGACAAGGGGATGGGTGCCTATCATAACCTCACCATACACACTTCTTGCAGCTGCATACATGATTACAGGAACTTCAATAAAGGAACTGCCTTCACTGACTTACTCACCAATGTGACATCTACTGTAGAAGACATTGGTGCTGTCATCAGGGGCTTACCTACAATATAGGTAGACCTATGCATACTCTTTTTTTTCTGGGGCATTCAGTAAGCACACACTTGTGATGAGAGACACCTAATTTCCCCATTTCCAGTTCCATCTTTTGGTGGAAATTTAAAATATGACCCACTCATTGTCATGACACAGGTAAGCCCAAATTCCCTTGTTAGACTGCTCAAGCACACAAAATGCATCCAAAAGCACTTTAAGACTTGTAGCACGAGTGTGTGTGAGAGCATGTTATATGTTGAAGCACAGCTCTGCTTTTATGTGTAGATTTTAACATTTTGAGACAGTCCAGGAGTTAAATCTGTCACGGTCTTAATGTAAGTGGAAACGTGGATAAGAAAAAGAGTCCAGACTTTGATTGTACTGTGATGAACTGATACTGTACTGAAATGGTAAAATGGAAAGTAATTAAAAACATTTTCACTATAAAAATAGATGTGTGCGTCCCAGCAGTCAATGACTACATGTACCAGAATGCACCGCGGCTGTCAGATTCAGCCCAGCACCGTAGGTACTGCTGTACTGGCGAGGAGCACACTGACATACGGACTGCCTTGCTCAGTAAGTTGCTGATATTTTTCTCTAGACAACTATTGTACTTTTTTCCAAAAACATTGAACTAGGTAGTGGTGGTATTTGTTGTTAAATTGTCCCGTTTCAGCGTGTGTAATGTGACGTAATTCTCCTCGGACTTGCTAGCCTACATTAGCCTGAGTTAGCTGTTATCATCATCCGGTAGCTAGTCAGACCGATGTAATGTTTAGTAACCTCGTACCTGGAAGTAACGTTAGCTATTTTGTAAACCTGCCCCCCGGAAAGTCACTTCTCCTTTATCTGTGCAAGCCTCTCCTATTGCTAGTCATAATGATAGTCCCGTCGGAGACAGTGTCACTATAATAAACCAGTGACAGTCACCACTTTTTACCATTAACGTTACAATTGTTAGCTGCGTTGTCCGCAAACGCTGGCTGTAAAGCAACGTCAGCAGTCAGTAACTCTGTACCGTAGCTAGCTGTGAGTCCGTGAACGTCTCACGGTTCTTTGGTAACATGTCTTCATCGTGCTGTCTGTCACACGCAGCTCTTAGTGCTTCAAACATGGATCAAGACAACAACTCAGAGGTTTGTTACACTTATAATCCTCGCGTGTGTGTGTGTGTGTGTGTGTGTGTGTGTGTGAGAGAGAGAGAGAGAGAGGAGATGTTTTTGACTGATGTTTTGCCAGATGTCCTCCCCACACTGTTGTAAGAGGACACACAGAACAGCTTGAGTGTTTTAGTATGATACAATCTGTGTAAAAACATGCCTGTTATTCTGTTGTTGGCTTAATTGTTTCTCAACCACTGCTATGCTAACTTGCCCTGAGCAGTTACCTAATTATGTGCAATCAGCCCGTAGTTCTCAAAGTGGCTAGACTTGGACTTGGAGAGGATTAATCCCTTAATCTTGCACACTAATGTAAACATGTCAACTGCCTAAGGCATTGTTTGCTGTTTTAATGCCTGGCAGGATGAGTCAGTTGGCCCATCGGAGGACCCTTCAGAAGAGGAACTGCCTTGTCTACCTCCGGGGCTCTGTAAGTTGTTTTTTAAAAAGTGTGTATGGTGTAGTAGCTCTTTTTTGAATGACTGATTGCCATCTCATGTCTCTGTTACACAAAATTACACACTATATAATGTTTTTTGTTAATTCTCTAAGACCAGATAGTTTATCAACAGGATTGTTCATTGCAGCAGCCTTTTCACTGTCATTTCTAATTTAAATTGTGAATCTGCATGACACAATAATGAAAGTAATGCAAACGATACGCTCTCAACAAGTATGGGATTTGCTACTTCCTGGGGCAATAGTAAATTATCTCCACACACTCACACATTGTACTTTAAGAATGCAGCATTTCCAGATGCAAGTACATGTGCAATAGTTTTGTTACAGTCCTCACTATTAGCCAGAGGTGTTTGTTGCAATTTTTCCAACTATGTAAATAATCTCTTGTAAACTTTGATGTTTTTTCTGGTGTGCATGTAGTCCCTAGACTTGTCTATAGTTTACAAAATAGCTGCAACTTATCTCTTCTCCAGAGATGCTGGTGGTGTCAAAAGGACCGGGACTTAAATTGCTGTAACTACATCTAATGCCTTAAAGAAAAATATAGAACCCTACAAAAAAAAATCCAGACATCAAACACTAAAGTTGTCCTCTTGTATTTAAAAACTGTTTCTGTTCTTCCTGTCTAGCTGATGGTGAAGCAATGGAGCTGCTGTGGCAGTTGAGATCCCAGCGCCGCCAGTCGTCCCCTGAACTCCCAGAGACAGTGACCCGTCTTACTGCTCCTGACGGCAGCCTCCTATACCTGGTGGGCACTGCCCACTTCAGTGACAGCAGTAAAAAGGATGTGGCCACGGTAAGCCAATGAGAATTTACAGCAGAATTTATACAGTACACTGTGCTGCTTACGCCCTTTTAAAATGTGATATGCTGTGAATTGTCAGTGAAATAATGAATTAACTCTGTGAATGTAGAGAAGTGCTGCAGAGTAGCACCTAAAAGTGATGATGACTTGGCCCTGGTGTATGTACTGTCCTTAGTTTGGCATTCCTCCTTTGCCAAGCACAATTTTTTTTGTCTTCCTCCACACTTTGAACTACTCCCTCACTGCTCATTTGCCATTTGTCTCTCTTTTATTCCGTGTCTGTCTCTTATCTTACATACCCACTGCTCTTTCTGTGCCTCACACAGACGATCCGCGCTGTGCAGCCAGACGTGGTGGTGGTGGAGCTGTGCCAGTACAGGGTGTCTATGCTCAAGATGGATGAGAATACACTGCTGAGGGAAGCCAAAGACATCAACCTGGATAAGGTTCAGCAGGCCATCAAACAGGTCAGGCTTTCACAATGATGGGAACTAACAGTGGCGGCAGTGTGAAAAACAGCAAGAGCAGATAACATAGAGAGACAAGTAATGGTGCTGTTTTGGAATTTGAAACCACTGTTATCCTATGATGTAAGAAGCAAAGAAGGAAATCGCAGCATGCACTCATTGTTAATGGGAAAATAAATATATCTAATGCACAACAGGATTTAGGGTCAGTAAAGAGCTTTTAGTCTGTTGTGCACTGGTTTTCCCAAACTATGCTTACGTACGTGCATAAAAATCGGAACCACTGACGGCATATCTTTGTTTTTGTGTGTTCTTGTTTCTGCCCTGTGTGTTTGTCAGAACGGGCTGATGTCTGGCCTGATGCAGATTCTCCTGCTCAAAGTTTCAGCTCACATCACAGAGCAACTGGGCATGGCTCCTGGAGGAGAGTTTAGGGAGGCCTTCAAAGAGGTAAAACATGCACTCAAGAAATTATAAAAAAAATGGATGCTAGTTTCATTTTTAGTGTTTATTTTATCCTCAAGTTTTTCTTCGCACAAAGGCTGGACAAGTGCCGTTCTGTAAATTTCACCTTGGGGACAGGCCCATCCCTGTGACGTTCAAGAGGGCCATTGCAGCTCTCAGTCTGTGGCAGAAGGCCCGTCTGGCATGGGGTCTTTGCTTTCTGTCAGACCCAATCAGGTATGAGCTCACCACAGTCACTTTGGAACTGTCTTTCTCAGTAGCTGTTATCAGACACTGCTGTTCAAGACCGAATAGATGTAATGTTGACTCACCCAAAAATGAGGATTTTGCCATTTTTTAATTGAGTTTTTGTCCGCGCCCAGCACATTAATTAGAACTGAATTGGGTTCAGAACATGCTGTTTAATGGTCTTTCTTAAGAGGTTTCCATTTCGTGGAAATGGTGGACAAAAGCAAAGGTTTTAAAAAGGGATCTTCAATGTAAATGTCAGATATTAGAGAATTGTGGCAGCAGTAGCTAACATTTTGATTTGAGCATTTTTTTGCCTTGAAGAAAATGTAGCTACAGTACATCTGCGTGTTCAGTGTAAAACTAGGGAATGTGCGCCCACACATTTTTTACAGAGTAGATGCAACTCTGCCAATTTCTTTAACTGCCGGTGTCTGTGAGATCTTGCTGGAGGCTTTCTGCATGAAGTGATTGTGCGTCCATCTTCTGACATCTCTTTGATTGAGTCTGTTAGATTCTCTGATGTATAAATCAGCATTGCCTAGTGAGACCTAAACAGAATATATGCTTGAAAGTAAAAATTCTCATGACTCACCATAGTTGTGCTGCGATTCATCCTCTGAATATGTACTTGATAAATACAATGTGTTGACAATGCTGTCAAAGTCTCCTGCAAATGCAAACTTCTGCCCAAATTTAGTCATTTTACACTAAAATTTGGTGAAAAATATACATATTTCCTCTTAAAAAGTATTTAAAACTTAGGGATAAGCCTTGTTTACATCTTATATAAAGAGGTTTTAACAATGGACACGTAAAAGATGTCAGAAGCATACTGTTTGTTCCTCTTTCTTTTCTTTATACTGTCATAACCAAAATACAATGTGAACCGAAAACCAAAATGTCTTCTCCTTCCTGTGTGACCACCACCGACTGTGTTGGACTGTGTGTTACGTTTTCAGTAAAGAGGACGTAGAGAAGTGCAAACAGAAGGACCTGCTGGAGCAGACCATGTCAGAGATGATCGGCGAGTTTCCTGCTCTCCATCAGACCATTGTGGCTGAAAGAGACATCTACCTCACGCACACGCTCCGCCAGGCTACACGCTG